AGAAAGAGAAAGGAAAAGTGAGAAAGCAAGCCACCAAAGTCCAGGATTCCACCCACAGTTGGCCATGTGGGAGTCCAGGGCCTTAACCACCATACTACCTGCTGGCCCAGAGACCTCTTTTTTTTTTTTTTATTTGTATGAGAGAGAGAGATTTTTGTACAGGGCACGTTGTGAACATGCTGAAGAATCAGAAACAGAGAGACAGAAAGCAAGAAATCACCAGGGGGATGGCCACGCTGCAATCCCTCCTCTTCCATTCTCCCCTCAGGATCTTGGGCACACATATACATGCACATGGCGTGAGTTTTAAGCTGTCGAGTCCAGGACTCAAACTATGATCAACTACACCAGAGTCCAGTGTAACTATTAGGCAATCTGCTGGTTCCAGTACTTCTTCTTAATTAAAGAGACACCAACCAACATGATTAATGGCATTTTCTCAGTGATGCTTATCTGCTTTTCTTACTATTTCATCTAAAATAAACATGAACATTCCTGTGTCTTCTTTTCCTCCTAGCCCTCCTCCTTCTCTACCTCTTTGTCCTTTAATTGTTGCTATTGTCATTATTGTTATAGTTATTTCTCTTATTTTTAATCTTTCTCCTCCTCTTCTTTTTCTTCTCTTTTACTTCTTTCTTTGATTCTATTTCTTAGTGGTAACAGGATATTGGCCACATACTATAAAATGATTTATCTTTTTGACTTATCATGCACTCATCAGCAAAATAATAGTTATTTAGGAGATTATTGAGATTATGTGTGAAAGAAAAAAAATAACGATTCTTGAGATACACTTAGCTCTTGAAAAATAGTGGTTAAGGTGCTAGTCTGGTAATCTAGTAGTTAAAGGAGCCAAATCCCACGTGGCTGACTGTGGTTCAAATCCTGGTCCTGGCAGCTTGAAAAACACACTGGGCTTAAGTGCATGCAGGCTCCAAATCCCAACAGGATGACGAAATAGAAAAGAAGGGCTTGTAGAGTGACCATGGTCCATCAAGAGGGGGTTCTCCATCTGTCTGTCTCTCTCTGGTGAATAAGCATGCCCTTTGACAATTAAAAAGAGGAAAATAATGTTCCTGATTATATTAATGGATGTCTTAACTAAATTAAATTGAATCTGAAATGATGAGAAGTTTGAAAGGTAAATATTTGAGGACCTGGGACAGAATTTTCCCAGAACCTTTGAGAAATAAACTTCATGTAGTGTTCTTGGTAACAATTCCAATTTTAATTCCCACTTGTTAATGATATAATAAATCTTTTACAGACTTTGTCATGTGAACTTACTTAACCATAAAGTCAACTTTATAAGATATTTATATTATTAGCATTGCTATTTTAAAAATGAGGAATTTGGGACACAAAGATAGTAAGTAATGTGCCGAATTGTCAGCACTTTAATCAGGCCTGATGGAGAGAAGAAGGCATATGTGCAACTGGCTCTTGATTTATGATTTTTTGGATGTTGTCAACAAGATTGAGATCATCTAAACTGAGTCCAACTGGCTAATTCTAAATGCATACTTTTCCACCATCAAATAAAAAAAAAAAGATAAATCATTTTATAGTATGTGGCCAATATCTCTATTACCACTAAGAAAGTGGACTCAAGGGAGAAGGTGAAAGAGAAGAAAAAGAAAAGGAGGATAAGGATTTAAAACAAGAGGAACAACTATAATAATAATGATGAGAATAACAACAATTAAAGGACAATAAGGTGAAGAAGGAGGAGGACCAGGAGGAAAAGAAGACACAGAAATGTTGATGTTTATTTTGGATGAACTAGTGGGTAAAGAAGGTAAGTGTCACTGAGAAAATACCCATAATCATGTTAGTTGATGTCTCTCTAATTAATAAGAGGTCCTGGGACCAGCAGATGGTGTAATGATTACGTCACTGGACTACAATGTAGTTGACCATGATTCAAGTACCACCGTTGGTGACTTAAAACTCATGTTGGGCGCATGTGTGTGCATGCCCAAGATCCTAAGAAAAGAATGTAGGAGAAGGCATTGGGCATGGCCATCCCTCTGGGGGGTGATTTCTTGTTTCTTTGTCTCTCTCTCTCTTTCTCTCTCTCTCTCCACCTAGCATATGTGCCCTATAACAAAAACCTCTCTCAAAAATTAAAAATAAAATAATTAAATAAAAAGATCTTGTCATGATATTAATGGCTATTGCTGACTGGGATAGTGTTTTTGAAAGTAGGTAGTTTTGGCAATGTCTTAAAACAACAATCAAACAGGCAATACCAATTGACTCTTTCTTTTATGAAGTATTTCTCTGTAATATGAGAAGTTGTTTTGATAGCATTTTACTCACTATAGAATTTATTTCAATATTACAGTTAGTGCTATTGAATCCTACCACTGTTTTATCAGCTAAATCTACATAATATGCTATTTTTTTTCATTTCAACAGGTTTCATAGCATTACCAAGAATACATTTCAAGATACTACTTTCTTTCATCATCCATAACAAACAACATTTAGTTTATTGAATTTTTATCTTGAGATTGCAGCAATTCCACCACATCTTTAGCCTCTACTTCTGCTTTTGTTTCCCTTGCTATTTCTACATCTGCAGTTACTTCTTCAAGTGTTGAACCCCTGAAGGCCAAGTGGTCCATGATGGTTGAAATCAACTTCTTCCTGGCTCTTTTTAATATTGATAGTTTTACATCCTATCATGAATCATGGATGCCCTTAATAGCATCTAGAATAGGGAATCCTTCCTAGAATATTTTCACATACTTTGTCCAGATCTATCAGCATAATCACTACCTATGTCAGCTATATCCCTACCAAACCTATTTCTTAAACAATAAGAGTTCAAAGTCAAAGTGATTCCTTTATCTGTGGATTACAAAATGGATGTCATGTTCACAGACATAAAAACTATATTAATCTCTTTGTGTACATCTCTATCAGAGTTGTTGGTTGAACATGTACATTATCAATAAGTAGTAATATTATGAAAGAAATCTTTTCTGGGCAATAAGTCTTAACAGTAGGCTTAAATATCTCATTAATCATGCTACAGACAGATATTCTGTCATTAAGTCTTTAATGTTCTGTTTAAACAGCGCAAGCAGAGTATATTTAGCATAATTCTTAAGGTCCCTAGGGTTTTTGAAATGGTAAATGAGCACTGGCTTCCATTTTTGTTTACCAGCTATATTCACCCTTAACAGAGTCAACCTATCCTTTGAGTCTAGGTTTTTACTCTATTGTGTTTCTAACAACAGAAATATCTGAAACTGGGTGACTTAAAAAAATAAAGTTTTATTTGACTCACATTCTTGTGGTCCATAGATAAGTGCCACATCTGGTTAAGGGCCATTTAGTTAGTGGAGATCTCTGTGGAATTCTGAAATGGCATAGCCATCACATAAGAGAAGGCAAGAGCTCTGTGTTTATATCTCTGTCACTCTCCCTCTTAAAAAGCCACCAGGATTCAATTATGTGATCCTTATCCTGAGGAAATACTCGCCTTGTCTTATCCAAATCACCCCCCAATATGTCCCATCTTTCAGCACCACAGTTAGATTTTGCCATCTTCATACCTTCACAATACAACCAAATTCGAACATATGAACCTTTGTGGAACACATTCATACAACAGACATTGATTTCTTTTCTCTAGCCATGAATGTCCTACATGGAATTTTTTTCCAATATGAGGTTGTTTAGCCTACATTGAAAATCTGTAGTCCAGTGTAGCCAACCTCATCAATCATCTTGACTAGCTCTTCTGGATAACTTGCTGCAGCTTCTTCAGCACACTTGCTGCTTCACCTTATACTTCTATATTATGGAGATGGTTTATTTCCTTGAGCCCAATTAACCAACATCTGTCAGGTTAGCTTCAAATTTTCTTCACCAATGTTCTCACCTTACTTATACTTTATAGGATTAAAGAGAGCTAAGGGCTTGCTCTCGATTAGGCTTTGGCTATAGGGATTGTTGAGGCTGCTTTCATCTTCTATCTGGCTCTCTCCGTAAAACATTGTCCTTGTCAGCAAGAGTGTTATTTGGCTTTCTTATCCTTCATATGTTCACTGAAGTAGCACTTTCCATTTCTTTCAAGAAATTTTCCTTTGCATTCACAACTTGGCTACTAACTGTGTAAGAGGTCTCACTCTCAACTTATGTCGGCTTTTGACATGCCTTCCTTACTGAGCTTAATCATGTCTAGCTTTCAATTTAAAGTGAGAAATACGTGACTCTTTTTCTTGAACACTTAGAGTCTATTGTGGGGTTAATTGGTTGCCTGGTTTCAATGCTGTTCAGTCTCAGGCAGAAGGGAGGCCCAAGTAGAGGTAGAAAGGTAGAAAAATGGCTGGCCATTGTAGCACAAATTAAGTATCGATTAAGTTTGTTATCTTATATGAGTACAGCTTATGAAGCCCCAAAACACTCCCAAGAATAACTTGAAAGATCACTAATCACAGATCACCATAACAGAAGTAATGATGAAGAAAATGTTTGAAATATTATGAGAATTACCAAAATATCAGAAATACTAAATGAGTCCATGCTGTTGGCAAAACAAAGCTGTTGGTGTTGCTCAATGCAGGTCACCACAAACTTTTAAACTGTGAAAAACAAAGTATCAATCTGCAAAGCACTATAAAGTAAAGGGCAATAAAATGATATGTGTGGATACTTACTATTCTAGTTAATTTCTATTAAAGTTATCCAATGAAGGCATTGGTCTACATAAATTTCTCTTATGTACAACAGGGGGAAAAAAACAGGTCCTATTTCACATAACAAAAACTTATTTGTATCTACAATTGCTTTTCTAAGGAAAACCATATAAAAAAACACACAATAATTATATCCATTATATTTATTGGGTTGTCAGAAAAGTCATGACTTTTTTTTCTGTTTTTCTATGCAAAAATGCATGACTTTCCCACGAATCCATTATAACACTGAGGCACAATATAAGTGATTGTTGACTAACAATGATTAATTGTTCTTTACTGTTTTAGAAGAGCAAGTTATATGATAGTCCTCTTTCTACAAATTCAATATTATGACTGAAAATCTTAAACTGTAAGTAAATGAAATTCTGTGACCTATTTTGCACAATGTTATCTAATGTCAATCGTCCAATTATTTTAATAACGATTCATTGAGAACAAAATATGTACCAGGAACTCTACTAATTTTAAAGAAGAATCCCCTTGGATAGTCTTTGTTCTTAAATAAATGAGTCATAATCTGCAGGGTCTTAACCATGACGTAAGTGGTCTTTACCATAGGCTGGTAGTAAAAACTTGGGACAATAACAGAAAGTCTATGGTTTAATTTTACTGTGTATTAAGGCCACAACTAAAGTCCCAATATCTAGGGGAATTTAGTGCACTTTTATTCTGTGTTCATTGATCTGTAAGTTCTGACCAATTTCTGATCTATAAGTTCTGACCACTTTCTGATCTAGTGCCTAGTGGACAATGGCCCAGAGTTTTTGAACAAAATAATCATTATAGTTTGATTAATTGGCAGCACCACATATCAAAGATCATTGCTTAGACTAAATTACAGCTTAGACTAGTGACCAGGAGTAAATGTCAAGTTTCTTTTTTTTAGAGAGATTTTTGCTATATGGCATGTGTCCTTGTGAAAGACAGAGAGAGACAAAAAGTAAGAAATTACCACATAGGGGGGATGGCCATGCCACAATCCTTTCTTCATTCTCCTCTCAAGCTCTTGGGCACATGTGCACATGAGTTTATACTGAGTTTTAATCCTCCAAGTCTGGGATTCAAACCACAGTCAACTACATGGAAGTCTAGCAACGTAACCATTCCACTATCCACTGATCCCAGAAAATATCAAGTTTCTTGATGTGAGAAAAAAATGGGTATATATCAGGAACCCAAATGAATAGGTTGTGTTCAAGAGTAGAACACTGTGTCTTTAGGGTATTTATTCTTCAGGACATCAAGACACTTGAACCAGGTATTCATATTGAGTTCATCAACAGTAACACCTTGGAAGGTATGACAATGTTCAGGAGCATATATCAAGGTTTTATTTATTTATTTTTACATTTTTGGAGAGGTTCTTGCTATGGCGTATGTGTACTCGCCAGAAAGACAGAGAGAGAGAAAGAGAGAGATAGAAAGCAAGAAATCACCCCCAAGGGGGTATGGCCACGCTGCAATTCCTTCTCCTCCATTCTCCTCTCGGGATCTTGAGCACTCACACACATGCTCCTGGCATGAGTTTAAGCCACCAGGTCCAGAATTTGAACTGCAGTTGACTACATGGGAGTCCAGCGACATAGCCATTACACCAACTGCTGGTCCCTCAATGTTTTATTAATAGGAATATTTAGAAAGTACATGTAAATTAAACAGCAGAATAAAAATATCAATAATAGAGTGAAAAATGATAATAGCACTCCTTAAATACTCAATTGCAATGGCAGGTCTATAAATGAGAACTTTTGGCTGTCTCAAAAGCATTTTTTACTTTAATATGACATAAAATAAATTCATAAACTATTTTACATATCTATAATTAGTTTTTCTCTAATGTCTGCTAGATCATGGCACAATCTGTCCCGTATCTCGTCAGAAATTCAGAACCCATCCTTGATGCTTCCATCTCACCCTGAAATCCAATTCATTACTAATCCTAATTATTTGATTCCCAAGTATCTTCATTTCCATTCCCTTTATTATCATTCTTTCTCAGCTATCTACATCTCTTACTCTACTTCACCGCACTACAGTCAGATTTATCTTTTCTAAAATGCAAATTGGATCATAACACTTTTCTACTTAACATGGTTCAAGAGCTCCCTAATGCTGGGAGAACAATAACTCAAAACTATACATGGCTTCATTTCCAAGCTGCTATCTCATCTCCACCAGTCTCATCTAGCCCACCTGGACTCTAGTTACCCAAGTTTCTTTCAATTTTTATAATGCTTATACACAAGTGGAAAAAAAAAAAAGGCTTGGCATAGAATTATATGCAGCAATTGAAAAGAGATTACATAAGTCTCCGTAAAATTGGTCTTAGAGGAACAGGAAGATCATGTATAGTCACTCGAAGTTACATAACCAATGAAAATATTATTCACTTCAAGTATTGTCATTATAATGGCAAAAGAAAAGCAACCAAGAGAATGGTTAAATAAGTTACGATATATCCAAAATGGAATACTTTGTGGCAATGAAAAATGCAACTTAGAAAGGCTTCTTGATTCTCAATTTACATGCAAACATTTGAGGATAAAATTAAAATGCAGATTCTGGTTCAGTAGGACTGCGGTGTTGCCTGAGATGTTGTATTTCTTCTTCTTCTTTTTTTTTCAAATTCTATATGTATTTTTATTTTTTTCCCAAGTCAGTGGTTATACTTTGTTGCATCTTTAAACATCATATATGGATCTTAGAAATACCCTTTTTTGCTTTATAGCAACCTTTTGTTGTATATTTAAACATCACAGATGGGTCTTAGAAATAACCTTTTGCAAAAATAACCTTTTGCTTCTGTAGCTGGAAAGCTCTTAGATCTTATTCATCAGACTGTTGAAATGTTCCCGTTTTGGAGACATAGATATCATCTCAAATTTTTCTGATATCCTTATTTTCCTGTTTACCATAAATACATGTTTGTATTTGTCAATTCTCCCTCAATAAAGCTTTGAAACATTGTATATTAACCCAGGTGGAGCTCTGGACTCAGTATTAAGATGCATCCTTACCCTCAGTTCCCTAGGCTGTTGGATGCAGAGCCAGGTGGGGACTGCCCTGTCCCTACTCTCCTGGAGCTGGACACTGGCTTGTAAAATACCATATTTGTAACATTCAGTTAACTAATACCCATGCTGTTGGTTCTGTGAACCACACTCGTAGTACCCAGGCAGGAGAATAATATGTAATATGAATCAATACAAGGGTTCTTCCAAAAGTTGGTGAGAAAATGAAATTCAAGAACACATTTATTTTAGTAAAAAAAAGTTTTAATTCATATATAGTTGTTTTACAGTACACATTTTCCATCAATTGTTGGGAGACTTCTTGTATTTCTTAGTTAAAAAATTAGGTATCATATGATTCCATTTTTTTCAGGATAGAGATTAATCATGATAAATAGAGGGAGACATGGTAAATGTTAAGGATTTTGTTTTTATCGCCACCTTGGGTAAAGCCATTTGACTAACTTCCATCTTTTTAAAAAAGGACTATTTATTTCCGTTGTATTTATATTTACAATTACTTTTTTTAAAAATTGCTACAAGGCATGTGTACTCACCAGAGAGAGAGAAAGAGTGAAAGCAAGCTGCCAGGTCTGGGACTCAAAGTGCAGTTGGTCCTATGGCAGTCTAGTGCTTTAACTATCAGGCCACTTGCTGGTTCTAGGACTAACTTCTAAATTTTTATTTGTGTTCATTTTTCCAGTAAAATGGTATTATTGTGATAGTAATTAAAATAGGTAATATTTAAAGACATGAGAATAAAGAGACCTATGTTTAACATTTAAAATACAGAGTTTAATAAAAGGTATATATGTAGGTACCATATGCTGGTTGAACTAAAACCAAAGACAAATAAAATGAAGAAACACTTCAACAGGGGCTATCAGCTTTCCAATTCTCACTGTTCATATTTTCTGTAATAAGTTATTATTGATAACATAATGAAAGTACTTTAAAATTATTTTCAATAATTAACGAGTTGGCTCCATAGCCTAATGTTTATTAAAGGAGCCAGATTCCACATGGCCAACAGCTGTTTGAATTCCTGCCCTGGTGACTTGCAGACCACCTCAGTTACATGTGCATGCCAAAAATCCCAACAGGATGAAGAAATGGAGACGGGATTGTCATGTGACCACATTCCATTGGGAGGAATACTTTTTTCCTCTCCCTTTGTCTATGTCTTTCTCTGGTGAGCATATGCAAACTTTGACAATTGAAAAAAAAAAGAAAAGAAAAGAATAATTACTTACAAAAGCTCCTTAGAGAATAATATTTATTTTTTTTGAATGATTATGTAGATGGGCCTGTGAAACGTAACACCTAATAGTTGAACCTCTTCTAGCAGCTTTCTTATAAGTGACAATTGTGCAATGAGCACAAATAATTATCAAGTTAATAGACAGTGCCCTTTGGTAATTACTGACTTCAAAGTGATTTACTTATTCAACCATTCCAAAATATGTACAGAATAATTATTTTGTATTGTACACTGGTAATTCTCCAGAGATATACAAGGAGAATAACTTACTACCATTGAGTGATATATAAATTCTATAGGGGTTTACCAGAAAATGAGCACATAGTATTATAAACAATACAATAGAAACATGTACAAATTTCCATGTGAGTTTAAACAAAAGAGGAATTATCTCTGTGTAAAAGACAGTAATAAATGTGTATCTCATGTAGAAAGCTAAGATTTTTTGTTGAGATTTGAAGAGTAGATAGAAGTATTCATGGTGGAAAACACTAGAAAAGCTATTTCAGACAGAGAAAACAGCTTATAACCAGGCATAAAGGCATGCTGCACAGAGAGCGCTTGTGGTTGGAAGGGATGCTACAGAAGTTGACTTATCCCCTCTCCCACAGACCCTTGAACTTTCAGGTGTGTTAACTGGGACTTGTAGAAGTCCCTCTTTCTCCACTCCCCACGCCATCAGGACATCTGCCCCACTGACTAGCCTGGCTGCACTGAGCAGGAGGGACACTGAGATACATAAAGACTGGCTCACTCCCTGCCACACACCTCTGAATTCAGCAGTTCAGCATTTCCTGAAGTGTGCAGCACATTATGCAAACCTCTTCTCTTTCTCAATTGAAGCTCAGTAGCTCAGCCCCATATGCACCTGTTCTCTATAAACTGAGTGGACTTTGAATTATCCAAGTCCAGAGACACAGTGCAGGTTGCTGGGTGAGTATCTGGGAGTAGAACAGCAGAGAAATCGCTGATTACCACCTCCTCCTACTTGCCATTGAACACTCAGAATTAACTTGAAGAATTTAGGAGGAAACGTATAGTTTCCCTGATGACTAGAAACTATTACAGAAGCACAAG